ACATCCTAGCTATACCAGTATTGTAGTTCTATGTTGAATATTCAGTAAAGGTGCAAACTAGTTGGTAAGAGCTTTAACAATTTACATTATTTACTATTTTTGAATCAGTTTTGTGGTACCCTCATCCTCCCCCCCCCCATTATTCCATATTTGCTGATACAGGTTGGACCTCTCTGATCTGGCACCATCAGGACCTGGCTGCTTCCTAATGAGGGAGTTTGCTGGACCAGGGGAGGTTAATTCTGGCCCCCATGGCACCAGCCCCCCCATTCCCACAGCCCAAATCCACTTCTGGCTCAGCCACTGGTGTCCCTTCTGGCTCCCTTCCCTCGTATCCCCATCACTGGCCCAGCTGGGATTACAGCCACAGCCTCGTCACTGCTCCTTCTCTGCCACTGGCCTCCCAGCTAACTCCCCACTTGCTGCTGGACTTGCTGAGCTCCTGGCCCCACTGGACTCACTGCTGCCAGCCCCACTGGGCTTGCTGGCCCCTGTGCCACTGACCCAGCCATACCCTCCTGACAGGGCTCCAGGCTTCTGGCGCCTTTGTAACCAGCCCAGTTGAGCTTCCAACTGGGGTGTGTTGTGTGCAACCAACCCAGCTGACCTCCCAGCCCCCCGGCCACCAGACCCCCACTGAGACTTTCTGGTCCATGAACATCCATGGTCCTTTTGGACCACAGATGTTACCAGACCAGAGAGTCCCAGTTTAGAGAGGTTTAAACTGTAGCAACTTATCTTGATATAGCGCTTTCATCTCAAAGGATTTCATTACAGTTTACTTACATAGTGTCTTTGTTACCAAATGCTAGTTAAGAACAGAGCACAAACTGATATATGGGCTATGGACAAGATCATTGGGTCCAGGTGAGTTGCACGTTGTGCCAGGCTTGACTGGGTGTTTTGTGGCTGTAAACAACATTTCTTCTCCCTTGGTCCTTGGCCCAACTGGAAGCTGAATCAGACTGTTTCCCGAACAGTCAGTTTATGTAGGTTTTATAATGACCAGAAATTGGCCCTTGTCTATTAGCTTTTTTATGCTGTGTTTCTAGATCCTCCCAACCATGTGGTGGAATTTTAGGAAATATTTTTAAACATTTCTTGATCCATGCTACCTAGTTTTCCTGGTCTACACTGTTTTATCCTGATTTTCCCTTTTCTATACAGCATTAAGGCAAAACAATGAGTAGTCCTCTGGCACCTTCGAGACTAACAAAAATATATATAGTATCATGAGCTTTCATGGGCAAAACCCTCTTCTTCAGATATGATGTTCTAGAGTGGTGAAGATAAGTCATTCAGGAAGTAGGAAAGGAATGAAAAGAATCACATGAGCTAGCGTAAAGGGACATATGAAATTAGTGGAGACAAAGGAAAGCAAGATGTTGCACGAATACTCACTTATTAAATCTGTAAGCAATACTTCGTCTAATCACACATCGGCTACGTCTAGACTGGCATGATTTTTCTGTTAAAAGCATTTGCGAAAAAGAGCATCCAGATTGGCACGGACACTTTTCCGCAAAATCACTTTTGTGCGGTTTTGCTCAAGAAAGCCCCAATCGCCATTTTCGCGATCGGGGCTTTTTTGCGCAAAACAATACACTGGCCCTCTTGCGCAAAAACATTTGCGCAAGAGGGCTTTTGCCCGAACGGGACCAGCATAGTATTTCCACAAGAACACTGACAATCTTACATGAGAGCGTCAGTGTTCTTGCGGAAATTCAAGCAGCCAGTGTAGATAGCTGGCAAGTTTTTCCGTAAAAGCAACTGCTTTTGCGGAAAAACTTGCTAGTCTAAATGCAGCCACCATGTATTTATAAGGCTCCCAAAAGATTTGTTTTTTATTTACTAACCTTACACAACTGCAGAATTAAGACTTTCATACTAAAGGGAACTAGAATGAATATAGGATATTTTTCTGGAGTTTGCCTGGTTTTATTTTTATTTTTATTTTATTAAAAGCTTATTTCCCCCTTACCACACAACCTAGTTTCTTCTCCTGTTTGGTCCTGAAGTCAAATTCCTGTGTCTGTGATGTCACAGTCTATTGGTTTAGAGGTTACTGAGAAATGACAAATACAAATTAAGATCATATAGGATCCATATAGGATCAAATTTGAACGGAAAGACTGGTGGAAGTAGTAAATCTGGTAGAAAATAAAATATGCTGTTGTGTTGAGGTTGAAGTGTTTCACTGAGATGTTACATTTTCAACAAAGACATTATTAAAAAAAGATGGAGTAAGAGGAAAGACAAAGTCTCCCTCCAACTTGGTGGCTAGGGCACTGGTCTGGAATGTGTGTTCATCCTGTGCATTAAAGGAGGTGGAGTCATGTGAAAAAATATTTTTGATCATGTAATTAAAGACACTGTCATAATGCTTTACTCAAGGGGGATGAACTAAAGTTGCACAAGCTACTGTGGAAAATGGCATTTTCTATGTTTTAGAGCTTAACTTTGCATCCTAAATAGCATTCTTTTCATATAATGTATGTGTGTCTAATTTCCGAGGATGGGTTTTAGAGAAAAGTAAAAACAAATTCTACCACATATACCAATAGAAACTACTCCAGCCTGCATCATGAGCTGGATTCGCACCCTGAACTACCAGCAGTGCAGAAAAGACTGCTACCGCTTGAGTTACAGGACTCATTAGTTTAGCTAATAGCAGAAATCTGTTATCCCAGAACGGGGAAGAGTCTACTACTGGCTCGGGGGAGTAGCCAGCAGTGGAAATCCAGCTTTTTCACCTCACACCTCTGAAAGCTGGCAAAACTCCAGTTCCATGTGGTACTCCTAGGGAGGCAGAAATGGGCTGCTGGGGCCAGTTGACAAGCCAAGAAGGGTTTATTGCTGCACAATTTTACTGAATTATGGAAGCCAGAGAAGGAAAATTGCTATCTCTAATAGCTTTCATCTTGGAAAAAGATAAATGGATTTCAAGGAAAGACAGAGCACTTCTGTAGTCTAAAGGTGACCCCCCCGTCCCCAGTACCTTGTCAAAGTCTATTGCAAACAATGGAGATATGAGGACTTCTCAAAGAAAACAGTTGCAAGAATTCTTTATAATATAAGTGTATGTTTACACAAATTATCATAATCATACATTTGAAATCTGTTCTGTCCTCTGTCTTTGGATGATAATTAATGTGGGAATGGATGGGATTATTTTCTCTTTCTAACTTCTGTTCGCTCCATCACTCTGCTTGTTATATAAATATACATTTTATTTGATATGAGCCGTCTTGTTAAATTCAAACACCCAAACTACTGGCTGTTACACTGTACTTTAAATTAAAGTGTCTAGGGACTTTGGACGGGCAATTCCTATTAAAACCAACATAAATCAATATAGTATACTTTTGATTATAATCAACTCTTAACGTGAGAGCCACTTTATTGTAGCTATTTTAAAAACACATTGATTTCTAATATAACAATAATATAAATGTTACATACATTCTTTATCAAATATAACAAATACATTGTCCTCTGCTGATTATTTTTTCTTTTTCTCCAAATAAGACTTCAGACCTAAAAACTCTGCTGTTCATTACGTGAATAGCTGTCTGTTCCTTTATACCAGGTATCATTGTCATTCATTAGACTTTTGTATAATTCTCAAAGGAGAACTGCTCCTGTCCTAGAGAATAAAACTCTGTTGGAGAATTTCCATTTAAAGTGACACTAGCACTATTTCATATTTTAGCATGGCAATTTTTAAAGAAAAAGCCATAATTTAATTATTCAGAAATTGGGAAAGAATTGTGGTAATAATTTCACAAAGGAGGCAAGAAATTTTTTACACCAAAACAAAAATTATTTTTTCCCATTTTTAGACCCAATAACTAGAACCATGTTTGAATTATGCTAACAATGGACAAATGTGTGTATAGTAGTTGCCATGTCTGAGCTGACTTGTAAACCCAGCCTAAATCTCCATATTTTTTAGCCTTTCAAAGACACATGATATTTTACTGAGTATCTTGGAGGTATTAAAGCTTTCACTAAGAGTTCAGTGACCTGATCCTTTGTATTGTTGCTGAATTTTGGTTTTTCTTTTTTCCATTAAGGACCAGGGATTATTTTAGCTCCTGAGAGTTGCCATGTCAAAAATGGTTATACTGTTTATCATCATGTCCACTCACCTAAAATCATGGATATTTTGTTAAGTCAGAAAGAGCATCAAATCCATAACTCAGGGTGAACTGCAGACTTACCTACGGTTAATGGTTAATTATTTCATGTATCCTTCTACGCTTCAATTGCTATAGCAGTTGTAAATACTGCCTAAATATTTTTATTGCTCTTGTCTTGCCATAGTGTTCTCTATTTGCTATTAAACTACAATTGTTTTAAGTACAATCAGAAAGGCACAAGATTTCTCATATCAGTGAAAGCTTCTGTTTTTCTGTTACATGTAAAAAATTCACTCCTGATATTCCCAGGCTAGAAAGAGGTTATGTGTTGCATTTGCATCCCCAGTATTCAAGATTATTTGCCACTTAGCACATCCAATCAAATTTTTAAAAAATCTAAATCACATATAGTAATTTTAGTTAACCATAAAACGACATTCCAAAATAACTGCTTCTAGTTTCCTCCAGTTAAGCTCCTGGATAAACCTGGATTTTTGTTTCTCCCCTGGGGTCTCCCATGAATGAAATGCTGGCATATTAAAAACAATAGTAATCTAGGAAATTCCCAAAAGCTTCTCTTCAAAACACAATAAAGAAATACCAGTCCTTGCTACCAATCATAACTTGAAAACCACTAGAGCTAGGAACATGTTTAGCACACCATTTGCTTAAAAATACCAAAATCCTTGTAATGCAACCAGCTTCACTTGTAGCACTATCGGATCCCAAATGGCATTTCTTTAAGAAACTACTTTCACCTGCATGCACTAACTTATTTATTTGGAGAAATATAATCTTCCTTTTGAAAATTCCACTTTTTCAGGTTTATCTAGGACCCTCTGTTTTTCTTCTACTCACCGTAATGAGCTTATATAAAGACAATTTTATGCAGCAGTAGTCTGTGCCTCTCCTTTGCTTTGCCTTGCTCTTGCGTTCTTACTAGCTGTCGCTATGCAGTCCTTTAGATACAGCGTGACAGGAATTGTGTTAGGTTTGCAGTGAGTACAGATGCAGCTTTTGCTCTTGCAGTCTGCCTTCTGTGTAACACCCTCATTCCTTCCAGTCACTCATTTCAGAGGAGGAAGGACACCAGGTTTTCAGAGCTATTCTTGCCTTTTCTCCCAGAATACTCAGGAAAAAAAAAAGACTTCGTGATCTCCATGCAAACTACCAGCCTGCTTGCTGCCAATGATGACATTCAGCTTTGCTCTACCACACGGGAACAGCACTGATTCCTCATTATGTAAGGCAGTCTAGGTCAAGTGTAGGAGAGAGACTGCTGGCCTGAGCAAACCAGTGGGGTTGCTCCTTCAGCTTAATGCTTCATGAGGTATGGAAGTGGATTATGACCTTTGCTACATCTTCTTGGGTAAATGTTTTTGCATGATTTCATGGTAAATATGCTGTTTTTTTCTATGCAGATGACTGTCAGCCATGCTGTGGGATGCAGAGAAATTGCTAGCATAAACCAGCTCTCTCAGCATGCCTGAATAAGCAGAGTAATCTTTCCTCTAGCCATACTAGCTTTAAGGCACTATGCAAATAAATAAATAAATCATAAATTAGGGTTTGTGTAACAAACATCTTCTCTATCCATGTGGGGATTATTGTTTGATTTGACTGATTAAACAGTGAACAAAATCCATTTGCTTGGAGGTGTTGTGGGAAAAGCATTATTAGCTGTGGCTATTAGCGCTGAGAGATTTACTGCAGTTCTTGGCTGTTGCATTGCCTTTGCCTCACGTTACAAATATGCTTCCTTTCCAAAAGAGCTGCTTTGTTTTTTATTTCCTTGCACTGCTTGATTTTTTGAATGGCAACACTTACAGGTATTATTTATTGTGTGAATTTACACAGCCTTAGTATACTGGATGTGAATGCTGCAGACAAAACTACAATTAGTGACCCCTCTGCAGAATGTCAGGACAATATAAGCTGGCTAAACTTGCTCTGGGTTTTTGATGCACCAAGGGAACACAAATGAATTTGTTAAATTTATACCCATGTTGAAAATCCAGAAAATACACTGAATGGATCTTTCTATAAACCGTTCTGTTTCTACAGTGTTGTCAGGTGGTATAGAGAATGATCACTAATGGAATGCAGCAGAACAGGCCCTAGAAAGTAACAGCACAACATTGATACTGCAGTCTTGCGTAGGGAATTTCAACAAGGCTGGATTGCTTGTTAGGATAGTTACAGTTTAATAAAGCAAATATAATATATCATTTGAAAATATTCTAGTATATAAAGAGCCCTTTATTTTATAGTTCAAGCTTGTGTACAGCACCCTGGACAGCAGCTAAGCATTGTTCAATAAAGTAAAGGAGAGGCACCACTCAATTAAAGGAGGAGGTATTTTGTAAAATTGAAGACTTCTTAAAGTAAATATGAGTGGATACGAGAGGGCTAGTGGTGGCATTTATAGTGGAAGTGCTTTGGAAGAAGCAGCTTTTTCAGACATCATGTTTATTGACTTATTTCATTCTATAAGCTTACTACTAGGATCTTGAAGAATAAACTGTTTAATACATAAACTTTGAAAAACTATTCACATAAAAGCTATCATATTTGTCTCTGATAATAAGCATCTGACCATATTTGAAAAAATATGTGTAAAGAATTATAGATTTTCTTATCATGGAAAGTATGGCATTAAACAATATTATGTTCTAATTTAACAGTGGCATATTTGTTGATGAGAAAAGTTTTGTTTGATTATTTCTTGTATCTAAATAAGATGTAATACATACATTTCCTACAGAACTAATTCTCTTTCCCATTTTGTATTTTCCTGGCTTTTTAAAAAACGAGTTAATAGTTTCAGTGCAATATTATGCTTGAAAGTGATAATGGTAACTACCATAATCATTAAGAGCTCTGTTTCCCCTGGCACAATGCTGTCAAACAATCAAGCTGTCTGTTTATCATGATGTCAACTAATTAGTTGCTATTTGTTAAATGAAAATCTTTCTTGTGATAACACATGAGCAGTTGTACTATATGGTTTAATTTAGCAGAAGTGCCAGACTAACACCTTTTATTAATTAATTTGTGAAGGAAAGTCAGGAAAATACTTCTCTGACATAATAAAAATGCCTCTTTTACTGTGACTGGTTCTGTTGTACAGAATTTTAAAGGAGACTATTGACTTTTCAATGTATATAGCTGTTTCTTGAAAGCAAGCTACTAAACAAGCTGTAGCATATATTGGTGTATGGATTTTTTAAAAATCAAAACTGAAAGGCACCACATAATGATGTACCTTTACTGCTCTGATGAAAGTTTGTTAGCTTGCTTCTGCCTATACCATTCTAAAAGCATAAGTGCATTGTGTCTGAGTACATGAAAAGGAGCCAAAGGACAGACATACGGTGAATATAAATTATTTTTGTATTGGTTCAAAGAAATATAGTCTAAGTTATTTGGTTACACAAAGTCACTGATTTTTTTCAATATATTCTGCTGGTTTTTGAATTTTTTTTTCATTATAAATTCTACTTTGTGCATTGTTACAGATGTTGTAGATTTCAGTGCTTTTAGAGTATTTCTCAGCCTACTGAGGCCTAAATGGATGACTAAGATACAATGGGTTAAATTCTGGGAGAGTGTCAAACTCGTGCAGGCTGTGTGGTGGGCCATATATAAATATAGGACTGAGGATTGAAATCCACTGCTCCAAACTGCAGTATGTGATATGGAACTACTCCAAAATAGCTACTGCATAGTATGGATTGGGGTAGAGACTAATGGCTACTGTTCCCTCTTCATGTGTTTGTGGTCCGGTGGATATGTTCAGTTCATGGGCATAGTGGGCACAACCCAGGCCTGCTTTGTAGTATTCCTCAACTTTCTACTCTTGAGACCATATAGATCAGGGATGCCCTGGGCTCGAGCCCTACACAATGAAGCCACAGTTTTCTGCTGCATTGTAGGACTTCTGAAAATTCGCTAAAAAATGAGGTGCATACACCATAATACAACAAAGATACTATAGCATGTGCTGAAAAACCTGGGACACAGCTGTGGAATCATTAAAAAGCTTGCCAGAAACAGACAGGAGTAAAGAAACTTCCTTGTGGCTTTCAACAGCAGAGGTATAATGGGAACATGATGATGATGATATTTAAAATTGTTTGGGAATCATTTATCATAAATATCTGTGGCATCAGTTTAATTGTAGAGGCAAACAGTTTATAGCAATTTGTGTGAGTATCATTTGTATAAAGACAAGTGTGGGTCTCAGGTTGGGTCAGTCCATCACTATTGCACAATTTAGATAAATGTATGTGTTGACAAAAATAATTCAAAATATATTTATTAAATTAGAATGTACAAAAAGTAATACTGTATTAAGTTACTAAAGCAAAACTATAAACAGCTTAATCTGACTATCTCACCTCAGATACAAGTGTGCATTGGTCAATAGTTTTGGTCAATAGTTTTTGTAATTCAAAAACTTCGAGAAAGGCTTGGGCTTTTACAAATCCAAATAATTTGCAATCCAGAACTGTTGTTTTTCATTTATGTTTAATTCCACGAAACCATTTAAAATGTCACAGAATCTATTAACTGCTTCACCATCCTAGAGACCCACCTTTGGTGACTTGTAGAGATGCTCTGTCTCCAGTACAAAAATAACGAGCTCTCTTTCTCAGAGAGTTTTTAGTCTTTGCACTCTCAGGGAATGTCTACACAGCACACTTATTTCGATTTAAGCTATTTCAGAATTTTTTTCCAAAATAGCTTATTTTGAAATAGTACATCTACACTACAGAGAAGCCTCAACATTAGTCTGAGGCAGGCTTCCCTAATGTGGATGTGCTACCTTGATTTAGAGCTCCAGGAGGCACTGGGGAATAATTACTTTGAATGGCCTTGGGGAGAAGCTATTTTGATATAGCAGCAGTGGAGCGCCCACACTATAGCTATTCTGAAATAGCTCTTTCAGAATAGGTGTTATTCCTTGTGAACTGAGGTTTACAGATTTTGAAATAAACCGTCTGTTATTTTGAAATTATTTCAAAATAATGGAATTACTGTGTAGATGCTCGCATTATTTCAAAATAACTGATGTTATAAATGCACCCTAACTGATTAGAAGCTATGATAATATTCTATTTTTTTCTGGACCTTAGCTGGTTGATTTTTTTCAGTTTCTGGTTATTCTTCCTACCCTACTTAACTCCATAGCTCTTCTGTGATTGCAGTACAATATTTCATATTATCATGTGGGTCATTTCCATTTCTAATCTATCATGTTATGTAGATCTTCTCTCTGTCTTGCCATGGGTTGCTTTTTAGATTCCTGCCCCCCCTCCTATTTTCAAACAAAGTGGATTTCATGGGACAGATTTCATGTCTAAAACATCAAATGAACAAAAGACAAACTAGAACACTGTACAAGAAGGAGGGGAGGTCTTTTAGGGCACATCTGTAGTATAGGCTGTGATCCTAGCTGATAAAATTGTTGTTCTCAACCCCTTCTCCAGCAAGTACACAGAGTTTGCAGTATTGCAGGTGGCAAGATGTCCTTCCATTGCTGAACATCACACTTTTTGGAAAATAATTCTAGAACTCTCCACGGATTTATACTTTAGGTTTTCTAGTTTTCCCTGGAAATGGTGATGTGGAGCTGCTTTTAAACTACAGTCTATATGAAAGGGAGTTGCACTGCAGTGGCATCTTCCACGGGCAATACTGGTGAATTTACCCATTTGTGCTCCTAGGCAAAGAGTGCTTCTTTCCAGTCCTAGCAGATTCCCTCCAAATGCAGCATAACTAGTGTGATTCTTCTATGCAGCAGGTGTAAGACAGAATGGGGGGCACTTAAGCTGGAAGTGTGCATTGCTTCCATGTAATAGATCGTGGTTCACAGATGCTCATTCACATACTTGCACGGACATTTTGGAGGGTGGGTCTGAACTAGAACTGTGCAACCTGTCCTGAGCCTCACAGGCCCTGATTATATGTGTTGGGATCTGGTCAAGTATGACAACAACCCAACACTCTTGGGTTTTAGTCAGTGTGGGTAGCCTCCCACCCACTTCATCAAGTCCATGGGGTTGGCACAGCAGCAGCTCTGTGTCTTTGGTCACTGCTACCTGAGCGTGCTGAAAAGTTGTAGAGACTCTCATTCTGCAGTGCTGGCTGGCAGGAATAAGATACCTGGCTACCGACATGCCAACCCCATATACAGGAGGCATCTAGAGACAGATTACAGGTTTGGGGGATCAGAAGCCTCCCCCAGGAAAAAGCAGCAGTGGTGGCAATGACACAGGTTTGAGAGTAGCAGCTCAGGAAGTGGGAACTTGCACTTGCAGATCCCCCCTCCTCCCAATGCTGGCTGGTGGATCTTCTATTATGCAAAGCCACAAGCCATTGTTTCTTGTGGAGAAGAGGCCCAAGAAATATGGGCTGTCACTGATGTTGCCTGTTGACATGATTTCTGCCACACAGGCCCTTAGGATTTTGATTACTTTTGTTGTATGATATCAGCATATGTGCAATGAGAAGAAGTAAACAAAATGTTTGTCATAGTGAATAACTTATGAATCATAAAGTTGCTGGTCTTTGAAAGGTATTTGAATTAGATACAAACACTAACTTCCTTGTGTAGAGACATGATGCGAGTTAGGTGGTACCAGCTCTTCCTCCCCCCCCCCCCCCCCCTTTTATCTTCTTGTGTGAAAAAGCTAATATGATGAGGGGAATCCCATAAAACTTTTCCTAAGCTAGGAGAAAAATATATAGATTTCAAATATTAAATAATCAGTAAGGCTTTACACTAGAAACTCTAAGGCTACGTCTACACTGGTAGCTTCGTGCGCAAGAACAGCTGTTCTTGCGCAAAAACTTGCCGACTGTCTACACTGCACGCTCGTTCTTGTTCAAGTAAATTTATAGTGCAACGTCGGAAAACAGGACTTCTTCTGGAAGAGTTATTCCTCTCCCCATGAGGAATAAGCTCTCTTGCGCAAGAGTTCTTGCGCAAGAGGGCAGTGTAGTCAGGCAACATGAATTTCTTGCGCAAGAAACCTCTATGGCTAAAATGGCCATCAGAGCTTCCTTGTGCAAGAGAGCATCCACATTGCCATAGATGCTTTTGCACAAAAGCACATCTCCTGTGAAAAAGCACATGCCAGTGTAGACACGCTCTTGTGGAAGACTTTTTGTGCAAGAACTCTTCCGCAAAACAGTTCTTGCGCAAGAAGCTGCCAGTGTAGACGTAGCCTAACTGTTTATAAGGACTTTCTATGAAAGAGCCTTCTGACCCTCTCAAATCCCAGGTCAGACTGCTTTGCAGAGAAGAGGTACAGGAGCTGTGTTAAAGCCATAGTACTATATCATTAAAAGCTACTGAAGGTTGGTGGGGCTGGACTACAGCACTTTAATATATGCTCTGACAAAACTGGAGCTACAAGAAATTCATAATGCAGTTTTAAAAAATGGTCTTGTATGCAATATTTTTACAAGGTCCTTAAGGTTGCTTGTGTCTTGTTACATATCCACCACTGATATTTTAGGAAAGAAGTCATTTCAAGACCTATTAAACATTGGACACTTTCACAATGTATTAGTATGAGTGCTTCTAAAATTGTGATTAAATTGTGAAAGGTTAAAAATGTTCCATATAGAGCAAACTACGGCTAGTAAAAGTGTATAACTATAGTAGAAAACAGGTAGGCATGCGAACTAGCTCAAGATCTCATAGTGTTTCCTTATTTAGTCCATTTTGAAAATGACAACATTTAAAAGTGCTATATGTAGTGTGACAAGTGGCTAAGCGGGAGCTCTGCCACTACAGCCTGGCTGAAAAGGCCAAATAGAAGCCAGCTGAGCAAGCTCAGGTCTGAAGGGCTAATGGAAGCAGCTGTGGGCCTCATCAGCCAGAGGGCTATATAGAGCAACCAGAAGAGACGTGGAGGAGCCAGGATGTGGCTGAGTGGGCTCCCAAGCCAGAAGGAGTGGCAGGCTGAGTTTGCAGTGAACAAAAGCTTTGTAAATAGAAGATGGTGGGAAATTGGCACTGAAGATAAAAGGCATGGGTGGCTGCACCAGAAAGGGTCTCTGATTGATTTCTGACCCAAGAAGCGGTCCCAAAACAAGGAACCTGGGCAACAACCTTGTAGCATAGACTAACAGAACCCAGTTTATACTTACAAGTGTCAAAGGTAGATGTTATGCCAGTTAACCTATCTATAAATCTATATTTACCACTCCCTTGTATTTCTGTCATTTCGAGAAATATTGGCCTAGAAAAGCACCATTTCTGGCAGTGCATTTCAGTTTATGGGCTACGTCTACACTGCAGGCTTTTTGCGCAAGAATTGTTTTGCAGAAGAGTTCGTGTGCAAAAAATCTTCCACGAGAGTGCGTCCACACTGCCATGTGCTTTTGTGCAAGAGATGTGCTTTTGAGCAAGAGCATCCATGGCAGTGTGGACGCTCTCTTGCGCTAGAAAGCTCTGATGGCTATTTTAACCATAGGGGGTTCTTGCACAAGAAATTCATGTTGCCTGTCTACACTGCCCTCTTGTGGAAGAGTTATTGCGCAAGAGGGCTTATTCCTCATGAGAAGAGGAATAACTCTTCCAGAAGAAGTCCTGTTTTCTGATGCTATACTTGCGCAAGAACATGTGTGCAGTGTAGACAGACAGCAAGTTTTTGCACAAGGATGGCTGTTCTTGCACGAGAAGCATGAAATGTAGACACAGCCATGGTGTTTGCCAAATCTTCTATATTTTGATGGATACTCTATCTCAAAAGGTGTTCCTCTTACCAGAAGCAACTGATATATTGATGATGTTTCAAGGACCTGGCAAAATGTTGCAACATATAAAAAAGATTCAGCTGAATCTACAAATGGTTAAACCTCAATAAAAGCCTAGTAATTAAGGTATGAGCTTGAGTCAAGGGACTGGTAATGGATTATGGATCTTTCCACTGCTGGGTTTGGAGTTCATATTCCATCTGGGTAGCTCTGCCCAGCCTGACCTGTTTGACAGCTGTTCAGTGGCCTACATAGAATGACTAAAGGACTAGTATTTGTCGCATAAAAGCCAAGCTCACAACTAGTGATCTCATTGGTGAGTTCAGCAAAAGGATCACAGAGTGAATATGAGTCTTTCTGCAACAGTATTGAGACACATTCAAGGGGAGAAAGCTCGCACAGCTACTGTCCGTTTTTACTTGTCCTATGCACAGAAAACTTCCATTTCCAGTGTTGTTAGTCTCTCACCCTTCATAAACCATAAAAAATTAAAAACAGTGTAGACCATCTAGAAGAATTGTACTGAAATTAAACCTCCTTTCAAGATAGATGTTAACATGAAAAGATATTTAATTTCTGCAGCCTTTCTTAATGTGATTTTGAACATTCTTACATACATGCACATCTTTTTTGTAGACCAGCACAGTTCAAAAGTGCAAAAAACATTAATATTAAAGGAACACAAACAGATATTCTTAAAACATGTTTTCCTTACACTGTTTGTAATACCCTCTCAGAGCTTCAAATAAAACTTCTTTTCCTATCCTTTTCCACTTCATAAACGGAATTTTCCTTCTCTTTTCTTATTAGAACTTAAAATAATAATTTTTAAAAACGTTTGGTAACCAGTGGTGGAATTTGGATGTTTTTCAAACTAAATATTTAGAATACTAACAATTATAATTACAATAATGGTAATATTTGCAGTGCACATTTATAGGTTTATAAGAATGGATGTGTAATTGTTAGAAAATGGCTCATAATATTGAAGCATTAGTAAATATTTAAAGCAGAATAGTAAAGCCCTGATATGCATGATACTAAATGCTTCCTGTAAGGTGCTGAGCACCTTAACTGAAAGAGTTCAGCTCCACATAGGATTTGGGTCCAAGCAAAAGTTAAGCCACAATAAAAATCCCATGATGCATAAAATAAGAAATGAAATGCCCTATCAAGACTGTATGTATTGTAGAATGATGCTGCTGGCTCCAATTATCTGCAGACTCTAGAGTCAATGAATTGCCCAGTCAAACATTTGATATCTATAATATCAGACAGAACAGCCTCATTATCCATAGATGCTTATTTAGTTTTTTATCTGCACTTCCCAAATGTGTATATTATACAGTATAATGAAATAAATGTTTACTTGCACTTGTCTGCTCATTGCTAGGCTCCCCTCCTGCATTGCTGTTTTCCTTTCATTGGTTGCTCTACACCAACTGCACCCCAGTTTAGATAAAGTTTAGACTTTCAAAACCACTTGCCTATGATTATTTCAGTTTTTAATAGTTCATTTTTTGTCAAGAAGCATGTAAACCGCTCAGATTTAGCGTTGATAATAAAAATAGAGTAAGAAGCCAGACAACGCTTGGTCTATGGAAGGTATTGCCATTTAGCAGTTTGAATTTTAAAAATGCTCCAGCGTCCCATTTGTCATTCTAGGACCTTGTAATATTTGGACCTAACATCTCAGATGTGTATAGCATTACATTTAACTGGCAAGGCAGCATAATATGTGGATGTGATCTCAATCACATCCTGGCATATTAAGCTTTTTGATGATACCGTAGCTAAATAATGGTAAATTTACCATGCAAATGCAGCAGTAGAGTGGAGCACAAGTAGCATTCAGTTGTGAAATATGTAACAACATATACCTGGTGGGTTTCTGTTGTCATTATAATAATCACAACAGTGAATTTTGATAAGAAGAAGATAAGATTTTGAGAAGAAATTATTCCCAGCAAAATATATATATAATCAGAACAGATGACCAGGTGGTATCTTCTGACCTTAAACTCTGTAACTCTTTGATATAGAGAAATCATTAATTTTCAGGAAGATTAAATTTAATTTTATTTGTTCCACTGTTTCAGAAGCACACAGTATAATATTTTTAAAAATCTAAAAGTGAAAATGTTATCCACAAAACAATTCTGTTTCATTTTGTTCATTTTTAAAATTAGACAAACTTAATTAACTTCTTAGTTTAATCCTTGCTCTTTAATTCTTTTTTGAAGGAATGTTCATCTATGGAACAGATATACATAGACTTGTAAAAAAATGTTATTCTGACCAAAAAAACTTAAAAAAAAATCTGCCAGTTACAGCTGATCCTTTCATTTTGCCAGTAGATGGCGCTGTCCCATAAGGTGAAGGCTCTCTATATCACCCCCCCTCCCTCCACCCCGCACCCCACAAAGCTATTTGCTGTTTTCTATTAGGTACCATAGAGTGAGCTTCAGAACAGGAAGCTGAGGATGAAGCAGAGAGGATACTGCAGAGGTCTCTGTTTTTTCCCAATGAGAATGCAGCAATTCTAAATACTTGTTAAATCTTTTGGAACTGGAAATATGAACAACTTCACTCGAGAGCATTTAATCAGCATCATTTCTGGATGCTTTTCTTTCTTGTAATGCATGGGAAATTCTTGTATCAGGTAAGCTAGCAGAACATTTAATCGTAGACCTTAGTTCATTTATGTCAGTTATCTTGTGTGAGGTTTTAAAAATAGACATATAAATGCATCCTATATTTGCCTGTTTTGTAGTTAATACTAAGCATGGGATAGAAAAGGAAATCCAGTCTTGGATTTTACAAAATCTTCCATAAGCTGCAGTAAGGTCTGTTTGGCAACACTGCATTTTTTTTAGAAGATGGATTTATCGGCCTTATTTTTTGGATGTTTGCCACTTCTTGTATTTGGTTGCCTGTTATTGTATTGAAGGCATTTAGTTCCTTAACTATCATTTAGAAGGGTTATACTAACTACTTGAGTTCTTATTGTTCATTAATGCAGAGCACAAATTGGAGTGTAGCATTAAAGCACAGTAACAAGGCAATAGGGCTGCCAGAGCCCAGCGTTGCAGAGGTGTGCAGTTTTCCTTCCCATATTCAAGCAGAGGCTCCTCTTTAAAGGCCAAATCCTTACTCAGGGTTTTCATGAGGGTGTTGCTGCCTTTTTAAGGAAAAAATGGTTCTAATGAAATACTGAGTAGACAGGTCTTTCTTTTATTTACATAGAGATTGGCACTAGTAGTAATATTGCAGATACGACTCGGTTCATAATCTGAACCGTCTTGCTTTTTTAAACAGCACAAGAAATTTGCCAGGTGGACATCAAGCTCTTTCAGCATCTTTTCTAAAATGGATTTCTTCTTTGCTACTTGTCAGAGGTATGTGCTTAAGAAGACTCCCATCAAATTCACATCTCTTGGATTTTCTTTTTCCTGTTTTTTTTGCAAAAAGTTTTTGTTGCTGACTTTGCAGTACTTCCAAAAGGGATGACATTTTGATTTTATGTCAGCCTAGCTGTTATAAGATTATAAATGTGTTTGTTTTCAAATGTTCTTATTTTATGGGTGTAATGTAGAACTTGTACTATATATTGACAGTTGTTACCATCGAGTGTGTGCTTTTTTTCTGGATTTTCAGTTTTTGTTATGACTGATCGATATGTTAATGTTATGCAAGAGAAAAAAATTGCATGAAAAATAATACTGAGAATTATTTTAAATGGATAAAAACAGGAAAACTAATTCTAAAGGCTGATAATCCTTTAGTTTATTCTGTTGTACCTAGATTGTGTAGCACAAGAGTTTTATAACACTGGATGATCTTAACTTCAACATTTGCAGCAATATTAGGCATGAAAGAACTACTCCCAGATACTTAGCTTTAATTTTGAATGTCCTAACTTCTTATGGTCAGATAAACATTAGTTTAGTAATTTGAAGATAATTTCCATTGCTTTAAAATCTGTGGGGAGGAGATGAGAGTGGGGAAACTATAGTTAACTTCCCCACTGACATAAAGCTTCTTTTGTATAAAACCTCTTCCTACGGAAATTTCCAAGGGGTGGGAGAAGGATTATCCAATGTAACTATGTTTTAAGTGATAAGTAATGATTGACTACAGTGATTTACAGAGAAATCATGCCAAACTAGTTTGATTTCTTTGGTAGATAGGGGAAATGCAGTAGACATATTATACCTAGAATTTAGAAAGGCTTTTGACAGTTCCACGTGGGATTCCGATCAGTGAGCTAGAGAAATGCGGGCTTTGTGGAATTACTACTAAATTCATACATAATTGGTTAAACAACCACAAACAATGAGTAATTATGAATGGAATGATGTTGGCTTGGTAGGAGGTCTCAAGAGGTGTTCCCAAGGGATCTGTTCTTGGTATGGTGTTGCTTAACACATTAATTAATCACTTGGATATAGGAATTAAAAGCCTACTGATCAAATCTGCAGTTGACACTCATCAAGGGAGGTAGTAAAGCACTTTGGAGGACAGAGTTAAAATTCAAAGGGATCTCCACAAGCTGGAGAACTGGGCTAGAGACAACAAAATGTAATTCAACAAAGACAAATGAAAGGTGCTACACTTAGGAAAGAAAAAAACAAATACACAAATACAGAGAGGAGGCCAACTAGTATGACAGTAGCACTTTTAAAAAGACTCTTGGAGTTGTAGTAGATCACAACCTCAAAATGAGTCAATGTTGCAATGCCATTGCAAATAAAGCAAATACAATTTTAGATTGCCTTAAGAGAGGCATAGCTCACAGGTCACTCCATTCACTGCTGGTTAGGCGTCAGGTGGAATACTGTGTCCAGTTTTGGTCACCAATGTACAGGAAGGATATAGTGAAACTGGAAATGATACAGAGGCAAGTGACAAAGATAATCAGTGGGATAGAATGTAAAACAGATGAGAAAAGTCTGAAAGAACTAGGTATGTTTAGTTTGGAAAAGAGATTAAGGGAGACATCACAGCAGTCTTCAGATACTTGAAAGGCTTCCACAAAAAGATGGATAGTAATAGAGAAGTAGCCACAAAAAAATGGAGAAAGGTTATTCTGTCTTTGCACAAAAGACAGGCTATGAAGCAGCTGGCTTAAACTAAGGCATAGTGGAATCAGATTAAATTTGAGGAAAAACTTCCTAATTGTAAGAACCTGTTCTGTTCGTTCCCTCTGAAACACCGGGCATTGTCCACCGTTGGAAAACTGTGCTAAATGGACCTTTGGTCTGACCCAATATGGCTATTCTTAAGTTCTTATGTAACAGAAGGAGAATAGAACAGACTACCTAGGGAGATCCTGGAAGCTCCTTCACTGCAGGTTTCTAAAAGGAAGATGGATACCCATCTGTCTTGGATAGCTTAGATTCAACAAATTGTGCATCTTGGCAGGGGGTTTAGAATAGATCACTTTTGCATTCCATTCTAACCCAATGGTTTTGTGACTTTATGATACAGAGAAGCAGTTCTGGTGACATCATAAAATGCAAGATCAAGTGATTTTTACAAAGCAAAAATTCTAAAATAGGGTGTTTACGTCATAATGGTGAAATTATGGCAAGACTAACTAGTAAAAACTAATATTTTTAGGTGCATCAGAAGCACAAAGCCTGCCAATCAGTCAGGCCACTGAACAACTGAGGTACTATAAGAACACTGAAGGAAGACAAGGCCATTGTGAAGAACCTTAAAAAAATTCTTTGGTCTTTACTGCGGAGGATGTGAGCGAGATGGCCACACCAGAGACATTCTTTTTAGGTGATAAATCTGAGAAAAAGTCCCCAACAGAGATGTCAATACATGTGGTTTTGGAACAAATTAATAAATGAAATAGTAACAAAACAACCCTATTACTTTAAACATAAGGACATACTGGGTCAGACTAATGGTCCATGTAGCCCAATATCCTATTTTTTTGACAACAGTCAATGTCAGAAGCCTTTCAAAGGGTTTCTCTATTTCCTCCCTCTTTGTGATATCAATTACCATTTCCATCATTTTCCTTCTCAGCTGTTCTCACATTCCCACCTACCTTCTGCTCAATCTCTCCATTATCAGGCTCCCTCTCTTCTCCTTACCTCTTTACTCTTTGTTCTAAAAGTATCACATCCAGGTAGCCCTTCTTTGGTTAGAGGCAACAACTTAAATTTCAACTCGGGTCAGTTTTTTAGACTTTACCTCTCTCTAAGGGTGTTCCACTTACCTTTTAGGTCCCTATGTTCAATTACCATCACCCTTCTGCTGCCTGTTCCTCCTACAGTCCTTCCAATAGTTACCATTATTAGATACAATTGTAATAGAATTTTAAATGCACTAGGAGGCACTTCTCTTGGTAAAAACCAGCAGATACCTGATGAATCCTAGTGAATGTCAAGGAGAGGAATTTAGGAAGCTACCTAGAGGCATTTGTGGCTCTGTTAGGCTGATTTTTTTGATGGTGATATTTGTCTAAGATGACAAAAGGAAGCTGCAATTATGCTACCTTATAATAGAAATGAGCTAACTCAAGGAAGCTTGCACAAGTTTGGTTATTTGAGTGCATTTTAAGCCAATGGCATTTGAGTGAGTTCCAAAGTTACCCGCACAGAATGTTTCCATCCTTTCAACCCTCCCTGGACACCATTTTCTCCTTACTCACTGAATAAATGGTGTTTGCTTCAGAGCAAGATCTTTCAGTTTCTTTAATACATGATGAAGCCAAACTAGTTTGTTTCTAATTACCATAAATCTATGTACTGACACGGAATCTCAATGCAAGAAGGGCCCCCTCTGTAGAACACGAATTGGGGTGTTTTTTTCTGTAAAATGATCTGGAAGAGAAAGCAAAAAAGAGATACTAAATATCAGTGAATAATTAGAGTACAATAAAGCTAAACATTCTTAGCAACTTTCGGTTTTAAAGCACTCTACTTACATTAACTAATCTTCATAACATTCCTCCAAAGAATATAGGTATGTGTCACCTCTGACATCTAAAGCAAATTACATATATCAGAAACTATATAATATTCAAAATATAGATTCATTTCCTGAGAACTACTTTTATTGGGATTTTCGCAAAGTAAATAATGAATTACTCCATTGCATGATTTCTTTATTTTATTCCTAGTGTATAGTGCTAAAGGTGCATATTGCCTCACTATGAATAGTTATAAACTGCTAAAAGCAAGTCTTAAAGGATTAGCTAGTTTCTTAATATTTCTTAGATTAAATAGGCCTTATAGGATAAACATACTAAGTGCGTAAATAGGATAGAAAAGAGCATATGGTTATTCAGTTCAAGTGTACCTCAGTGCCAGCAGTCTGCCTTACATTTCTTTAAAGACTACTGTATCTTTAGTGGCGAGTACTATGATAATTCAGAAACTGAACAGAAGTGGGCACAGCAGAGCCATACTTTTTCAATATAATGAATCTTTTGGCAGCAAGGCGAGTCAATCTGATAAATTTCTTTTCAGAAAAGGAAAGCTGATGAAGTCTAAATATAGCACCTGAAATACAGAGCAATGGACATGAGGATGGGGAGCTCACAGGCCTCCATAATTGCTTCATTCACAATACTCCACTGAGGCAAAGGTTGCATAAGAGTTTTCAGAGTTTTTTCCTTGAAGTTAAAGAATATACAACACTAAATGTGAAATGGGCATGTCATTTAGAAGTCTAACCCTCAAGTAGCTTTATCTTATTCTCAGATTTTAAAAAATTGTCTGTTTCGTTGGTAGAGCTGGAAATTTGTTTGGTCATTCCCCATTGTAGGCTGGGCCAAGTTTTCAAGTTTTGATACTATTTTGAAGTATATACTCCTGCAAACACTACAGCACCAACTTTTTCACAAAATGTTCCTAAAGAAGGATGAATGTATTCATGCTTCAATTTTATGATTTGTCACCAAGGAAAATGGTCCACTAATAAAATTATTTTAGACACTACAAAAAGCTAGATAATAGGTCAAATAAAAGAAATAAACCCATGTATTTATTGTGGAGAGAACAAGGCCAACATTTTGGGCTTTGTACAGTTGTATTTTGGAAGATGATTCTGAAATAAGCAAAAAATTGTGATATTAGTCGTTTCAAACTTGAATAATATTTTTACCAAATAATAGCTTTGGTAGCATTCAGATATTTAAATTCTGATCTAACCAGTTTAAAGTGAATTGGACAAGGGGATCTTAAATTTCCCATGGTTAGCAGTTTAGACTTGGCAAAATTGCTTTTGAACTTGCTAGCTCCTTCTAATTGTATAGTAGTCACTGTTATAAAATACTTTACTGTTGAGATGTGCTACGACATAATACCCAACTGAAATGACAAGACATTTTAGGTTTTACTTGCAGAGCATGGACATACTACTGCAGAAAAAAATC